ACTTTCCAAAAGATGATTTGCAATTTTTTTTCACTATGTCAGACTCACCACCGGTAAGTGAAAATGGGGATGAGGACGTAGGATGGCCTTACGTAAACATATCACCAGAATAATTGACAATTAGGAGGACCACTTATTTTGATGATCCACCTGGAAAAAGAACATCCTCCACTATACCTTTAAAATAAGAGAAAGTGTGTTTCTCCAGCTCCACTTAGGCCTGATTTGAAAATCTCAGAGAAAAGATGGTAAATACTAAAGTAAAGATAGAGTGATCTGTGGTCTAATTTTTTTCCTCTGGCTTGTTTATTTTTGGTTTTACAGGAATAAATTGGATAATTTGAATGAGTTGTAACTTCCTGAATCCAGGCCCTTACCCCAGTATTAAGAAGTGAGTCTGTTTCACTGCTACTGATGGATCATAGATGCTAATAAGTAGGTCTGTTATGGGATTATAGTTTTAAGCTAAACACCAGCAAGATTCGGTTACATCATCACCAGTGACCGGATTCTTGTATGGAAGGGGGTCAGAAAAAGTACCAAGAATTCTGCATAAACACGTCAGTATGGTGCAAAACAAAGAACAGTAAATCACTGTTGCTACATCAGCAGCTGCAGTGATTCACTTCCCTGTAAGCCTTTAATCTTTGGTAGGAAATGCTCATACGCTAAATGAAGTTCCTCTGCAGAGAGTTTCTTGGTAGACTTGGCTGTCATCGTGTATGAAAAGAATTGAGGTCAAACAGGAGAATTTAGACATTTTACACACTGCATAGATAGACAGATCAGAAGGAAATGAGCTTTTAAAATATATGAGAACCTTCATAAACTGTTGCTCATTGATCAAAAGAGAACAAGCAGAAGAAGTATATTTTAAAGAACAGATGGTTCTTTTCAGCTTCATGTCTTTGTTGTGCATTTTATATCTTCTCCCCTTATCTTTCTGTTTCCTTATTTTGAAGATTGTAGTTTTATGTGAATAGAACTCTGAAACTTAAAATGTTTCATATTCTAATACCTTAAAACCACAAACTTAAATACTTTAGCTATATTATGTTGCTGTCAAACAAAAAGAAGGGCAGAATTGGGAAGTGAAAGGAAAATGGTTGAAACATAGATGTTATTGTATTTTAAATTATAAAAAAAATCCTAAACTGACTTTAAGGTGACTTTGTTTATAAAGGGTTTTTTTGTTTTTGCAGGAAAAAAAAACTAAAAGCATCCAAACCAAAGACCAACAACAGAGTATGAAGCCAAACAAAGCTTACATAAAGCTCATTCTGAAATAGTTTGACCTGCGTGGAGGAACTCTGTGATGAGCTGGGAGATGCAAACATTTCCCCAAGCGATCTTAGAAATAGACAATCAGAGGGGCAGCCAGGAGGCCTTTGGTGACTCTGGGGAAATTGCAGACATCCATACTAGACAGAAGAATCTGCTGATAAAGACAGCAAGTAAATATGTGCTTTATGGAATATTAGCAAGAATATAGATAAAAAAAAACCAAAACATAATATGAAATCCTGTATACAATGGGTCAGAGGACCAGTACGGCCAAAGCAACCAGTGGGAAGCAGCTAAAATGAGACTAAAAGTAAACTTTTGGCGCTAAATAGAAACATTATGACTAAGAATCCTACATCTTCAACTATAACAGTTGTTGTTGGTGGCATCATGTTGTGGAAATGCATCTAAACCACCTCATCAAAGTCACCAGCACCTCAGTTCCAATAAGATGTAATTCTAGTTCAGGTGAGTTCATTCTAGATTGAATCTAAAGCAGTTCAGTTAATTAAGAACACTTTTGATCATGCAGTCCTTTATAGTAATAAGTAGTTATGAAATGTCTGTATTTCATTTCATGCAGGTACTCTGAAGGACCCACTGATGCCTAATCCATCACATTCAATGCTTGTTTGAGTTAGTGGGTGTTTCAACAATTGAGCATTTGTTATCATAATCATTTGGAAAATTTGGATTAAAATTTCATCTGAAATGAATACATTTGACTTAACTCAGATTAAATGTTTTTGGACGTGACCATCTGTGAGAAAATTCATATTCCAGCTGGACTGAAACCTTGTTTCCCCCCTGTGTGTTCACCAAAGTTATGTCATCAGCTTTTCTTGCTGCCAAAATCTAAACAAATGTAAATATTCTCAGTTATTGACAGACTCTTGACTCACCATCTGATGGTGATCAGAGGTCCTGTTTATGGCAGCCTCTCTTCCATCAGTGTGCAACAGGACAGCTGTGGCTACACCTCAGCTTACCACCACCAGTGTGTGATTGTGTGTTGGAATGACTGAGTGTGAAAAGCTTTGGAGCCCTCTGACTTGAAGAGGTGCTATTAAAATACAGGCAATTTATCATTACGTTATGTGTGAAGTTCTGGCGCTCCCTGCTGTTCTAATCCCAAAACAGCAACTATTGCTGTTTCCTAATTGTGTATTAATAAACCCAGAATAAATAGTTGCATGTTGTGTGTGGACACATAATGAATGAGTCTGATGTGACGTCATGACACCATGAGCCTGTTGTTCCCACACAGTGTGTGTGTATGTGTGTTGGGGAGGGGGGTCATATGGCACACAGTGCTGTCTTGTCCACATGTGAAGCCCCTATGTGGTCTTCTTTGTGCCCCATTCTGTCATTATTATTGCCAGGGATCAGACAGGAAGGGCAGAGAGGAAAGCAACTCCAACTGTTTATTTTGTGTTTGTGTAAAACAGGCCTTGTCAAACTCACTTCTATATTTGGATCACTATGACTTAATCAAGTCTTAAAAAGGTTTCAGTCATATAATAAAACTTGATTTTTTTCATTTCATTTAAAAAGAGCACACTGCACTGGAAGCAAAAGATCATATCAATTTATTGAGCAAATAGGGCCACGATCTACACTCAAAATGACATGTTTTTATACTGAGGGGTGACAGATGCAGGAGTTTGCTGTGCAACCAGAGGGTTGTCTTCAGTTAAAGCTCCAGCTTTCAGTGTTGTTGTGTCTTTGGGCAAGACATTGCCTATTGATGGTGGTCAGAGAGCCAGGTGGTGTCTGTGTATGGCAGCCTCACTTTTGTCAGTAAGCCCCTTGTAGCCTGCCACGACCGGTGTGTGTCTGAATGACTAAATTTAGTGTAAAGCGCTTTGGTCAAGTCTTCTGACTTGAAAGAGTCCTATACAAGTATACGACATTTATGACATGATATGCCTTTTTTGGCTCTTAAGGGCTGGATACGTTACTGTGGCTGGGAGGATTTTGCCTGCAGGACACTAAGAGAGAAAATTAACAAAAATTAACAAGTCGTTTATTTTATTTATCTAATTACTTTTTTCAACAAAAAATAAAATTTGTAAAACCCATCTTGATTTCGAGTTTATGTTGTTTGAAGATGTTGAATTTTAGAATTTTTTTTATCTAAGTATTTGAGCCATGAGCCGAAAGCATGAAAATTGCAGCCCAGTGTTTAGAATTAGAGCAGGGGTTTCGAAAATTACTGTAAGTATGGGTTTTCTATTCCACAATTTCAACCAAAATGTGCTCAGAGAAGCTAAAATGTACATAGAATTCTTTTTTTTAAAACATAATGGAAACAGAAAGGAAAATTCTACAAAGGGGGAAAGGATTTAGCAGCTTTTTAAAAGATCAAAAATATGCAAGGCAGAAGAATTTGAGACTAACTTTAAAAGTCGGCATCTTTTAAAAAAAAATCTTACTTATATAAAGGCAGCAAAGCAACACTCTTTAAGTTCGACATGTAGATTTTTTGGTTTTTGTTTACAGATGGACTTTCTGGAGTTTAATGCTGAGCGGGCATTTCATTAGAAACGATAGCTCAGCTCATATCCAGTGGAAGTAGGCAAACAATGAAGAGGAATATCACAAGCATAAGGAAAATGAAAAATTGTAAATCCAGAGAGAGAGAGTATGTTTAAGAAGATCATCAACCCTAGAACTAAACCCCATAAATCCCCACTAAAGAATTAAAACAAGATCTCAGTGGAGAAAGAAATATAGCATCTTCACCAAGTTCGTAGATCAACTGAGACCAGAACCAGCGTATCTAAATCCCTTTTAGTAGTCACTGCAACTTGAAAAGAATGATATAAACTTTATCTATTTACCATGTAATCATGACAGCCTGCAGCTAGCTACCACCATGATGTCACAGGGAACTTTAAATAAAGCTTTCATGGAATGTGCAATAAAACCAGGCAGACATGTGAAATATCTCAAATCTTGCTATAAAACAAAAAGAAAAAAGAAAAAGCAAAAAAAAAAAACATTTTGACAGGAACATGTTAAAACCTGGGGTTTTAAGATTAGAGACTTCAATATATCCAATCCTATATTAATATAATTTCTATATTTATTACACAGTGATCAATCTAAAAGAATATTCTTTATAATAAAACATCACTTTCAGTCTGTTTTTTTTAATTGACTGGTTAACTACATGTCAGTCCAATCGTATTATCAGCAACTGAGTCTATCTGAAGCCAGTTTGTCAATCTAATCAGCGCATTGATTTCTATAAAATTGGATGCACTGTTTGCCTTTCTGTGTTTGCAAATACTTAGCTGCAGGGAGGGCCTGAGAAAGTCACATGAGGTTCAGTGTCAACATTTTGCCACAACTGCAGAGCTTGGACAAAAAGAACAGCAAAGAATTATCAAGGAAATCTGAAAGTCTGCTGTGGTTGTAATTCAAATGTTTTCCTGTTATTACTGAATGTTAAAACAAAAGAGGGATCCAAATAGTTGTCTGTTAAACCCAGACAGTGCTTCAGCTGTCAGGAAAGTTTCCAGCCACTGACTTTCTGCTCCTGGACTCCTCCCAGAATGCTTCAGGGTCATCAGAACAGAATGACAAGACCAGGCTAAAGTAGATGCAAGTATTTTAGTGGGAGGCTGTGAGTCTGGTGCTGGCAGGCCCCTAATGCGATATGTGGCCCTAAGATGAAGTCACAAACATCGCAACTGTAGTCGACTCCCACTCTCCAGGGCAGCACAGACAGAGCATTATGTGGCCGAGTACCAGCTGGTACCACGGGCTCTTCATCCTCAGCTGGACTTCATTCGCTGCTGCCTCTGGAAACAGGACATGGAACTGAAATCCAAGAAACAACCTGTGGATGTTCTGCTCGGATGCATCGTTGCCTTCTGCTTTTCTACGCTTTGTTGGGCTCAGAGACGTGAGTACTGCTCAGATTAGTCTGATGCAGGATGGAGCGGTCCTCCTTGGCTTTTAACAGCTTAAAATTCAGTTTCAAGCAATAATCTCTGATGGGGAGTACCAAAGCAAGTTTTCCTTTTATTCCAATGTGTGATATTAGGGCTTTTATTCAGAAATCAGAATAAAAGAACCAGTAAAAGATGAAGAATAAGAAGAAAAAGATTGATGTGCAGGGTTTAGATCAGGGTAGCAGCTTCTATTGCTTCTTTTTCTGCATAGGGCCTACTTTCAAAATCTTCTCAGTTTCTCTTTAATCGCACCTTATGTCTGGGATTAAACCTTTTTTTCCCCCTTTTTTTTAAATAAAGTCTGGAAAAGACAAAAACATGAAACTTACTCCATGTTTTTAATGAGGTCAGTTTAACTCTTGGATGGCTCTATGGTTGTGATTTGCATCCTGATTCCAAGATGGCTGCATGCCAAGAGTAAACTAAATCAATTTTGATGACTTTGACAAAATCACATGGCTGTACATTATTTCTCTACTGACAGATATACAAGTTTAATCTGGTTGATTGATAACTGAATCCAAACTAAAACAAAAAATGCTGACTCAGTCTCAATCAAAGGAATGTCTTCCTTTGATTGAGACTGAGTCAGAAAAACAGAATCAGAAATACTTCAATAATCCCAGAGGGAAATTACTTTTGTTACACGCTCCAGTTACAGTTTTATATAAAATGCAGCTATTATGTCCTGAAGATCAACATCTGACCTAGAAAATGATGCACTACTCTTATTGTGACTCAAACTGTTGAAAACTATGTAGCTTTATACCGAAATAGGTTTATAACTCATGCAGTTTGTTGATGAAATTCATTTTAAACAGATAAACCAGAAAATACAAAGGACCATTTTTCTCTCTGTCTGACTTTAAGTCACACTAAACTTTTCAGTTTTGGGTCAGTTAGGATTAGTGCAAATACTTTAATCTCCTAAATGTCAGAATAATGAGAGAGGAATGTTTTTTTAGTCCATTTAAACTGTTTATATTTTCTGATACACAATCTTTTGACGGTTGGAACTTTGGCCCATTCCTCCTGACAGAGCAGGTCTAAGTGGGTTAAGTCTGTTTTGTATTTGTTGAACTGAATCCTGGTTCTGTTGCCCCCTCTCACAGTCTGCACAGTGCCTCCCGGCCCGGTGACAATCCCTGAAAACAACACGGTCGACGTCCAAGTGGTAAAAATCATTCCTGTCAGCGATGTGACTCTGAGCATTTCATCGAACCCAGAGGATTTGTTTTACATTAAAGGGAATCTATTGATGGTGAAGAAAGGCCTGGATTATGAGGTAATTTTGGGAAATAATTGGTGATAACAAAAAAAAAATGGACATCCACGTATGAGACAAACAGTCTGTAATACCGTAGTTTATATAACTCTAACCAAAGTTAGCTATGTGTTAATCTTAGCTTAAGCTGTGCCAGTGGATGTACCATGATGTCTGTTTATGATTAAATATGTAAAATATGGGGCAATTTATAAAAAGTGGATCAATTATTTAGAAAGTTATCAAATGTCAACATTTGTTCATACTATTAAGTTTTTGGCCTTTTTCGAGCCTGAATGATTTTCAGGTGAGACTTCACTGGCCAACAAAACAAAACTGTACTGAAAATAAGCATCAAAAATTGAAAGGAAGTTTTTAGAAGGTCTACAAAAACATCATAGCAAACCCCTGCATAGTTTTGCTCATGTAAAATTATCTGAATATGTAACAAAGATTTTCTCTTCCCCAGACACTTTCCAGTAAAACTCTGGTGGTTTGGGTAACATGCAGCAAGTCTGGCTCAACATCTGTGAGTTAAGCCAGAAACAAAAAGTTTTCTTATTAAATAAAGTGCTTTAATCTTCAAGCTAACATCACCTTTACTATCCCTCGCTCCTCCAGGTGAAAGAATCTGTTGAGGTTCTGGTAGAAGATGTGAATGATAATCCTCCAAACTTTGCGCAAAACCACTACGTGTTGGACGTGAATGAGGTAGACAGAGATTTTTTTTTCTAAGCATTTTGCTAAAATCCTGTTCATGCTTCTAATTTAACCTTTTTTGTTTCTGCATCCTGCAGCTCACTCCTGTGAACTCCAGCGTGGGACTGATAGAAGCAACGGATGTTGATTCAGAGCCTCTATATTATAGATTAGAGTCTGCAACTGTAAGACTTCTCTCAGCCTAGATACCTTCATTTAGCATAAACAGGATATTTGTTTCCTAATGTCTAATCAGTCTTTTTTTGATCAGATATTTTTTACAGCACGGGTTAAATTATTAGGATATTGCACAAATAATTTTTTTGGTAAAGATGGTAGTTTTATGAAAAAACAAAACAAAAAATTTCACTCTACTCATATCTCTGGATGTGAAAGTGTCCATAATGAACCCTAACATTCAAACCTCCAACTATTTAAGGCGCTTTTGATAAACCCCAAACCCCGTCAGGTCCCTCCTGAAATTCCCAAAGACAGCAGAATCCAGTCTGCAGAAAGCTGCAAAAACATCAGAAAGATCCTATTACGGTAAATTAAAATATCAGTTTGATCTGATGAAAACCCATTGCCATGATTCCATATCACATAACTGAAGCAAAAAAAACAACAATTCTGTTTATCAGAAGCATAGTGGTAGCCTGGGTGCCATTCCGAACTTAGGCCCGCCGTAGCAGCAGCCTTAGTGTTCGCTATTTTCATTTGGAAGTGGGCATCAAAGGAGATGAATAATCATGCGGTAAATGGAGGCACAAAAATGTCACTTAATGCTAGAAGCTTTGAGATTCAACAAAAGGTTAAGCTTTTAGGGCCACAGCACCTCCCAGTAGGTCATGTGAAAGTGTGATAAAGTTTTAAAATGGTTTCTTTTCATATCAGACTCGTCAGTTCATCTAATTATAGATATTTTACTGAAACTTCTTTTTTATGTTTTCTAACCCAGGAGAAATATTTCCGTCTGGAGAACATCAACACACCAAAGATCCTGGTTAGAAGCATCTTGGACTACGATGTAGTGCAGAAGATCTCTCTGGTGCTGCATGTGCAGGTGCAAAACAAGGTTTTAAACACCACTCATTGCTCCTTTTCTTTTTCCCTGACATATAACTTCCATCACCAGGACACGTTCAATGGTTCGGCCTCCAACGAGCCGTTTTTTACCTCTGTGGCCATGATCACGGTGCAGGTGAAGGACGTAGACAACAGGCCCCCATGGTTCCAGCCTTGTCTCAGGACAAATTTGGGAATCGCCAAACTTTGTGTGAGCGGCGGATACAGAGGGAAAGTCAATCTCACTGAGAAGGAGGCAAGTTTCACAGCAAATGTCTACACCAGAAGTGGGTCTGTGTGTTACTGGGTCAGAACGATAACACTGAACTAAAAATGTGGGAAATATCTATCATGATGCAACTGCTGTTATTTGAATCTGCAGGTATGATGCGTTCAAGAGAGTCTGACAATCTGATGTTAACTATCGAATTACCCAAACTTTACTGGTGGGGAAACAGGCTGATGTAACCCAGTTTTTTCTAAATGTTTTATAACTGATTACTGTTTGTTCACAAACAAAAGGGTTTTTGTTTGTGATCACATCCCCATCCAGCTATTAATACACACATTAAACATTTTATAACAGCCTGTAAGCCAACAGCAAAAAAACAGTTTGTTTATTCTAAGGAGTTAAAAAATTTAGATGGTTATGCTTTACAGGAAACCTAATGGTTTGTTCAGGAGAATCTAATGGTGGTTTAGTTTATCTGACAGTAAAGTAAACTGGAATGATTCTGACCCACAGGAAGGCCCATTAGTGCTGGAGCCTGGACCAGTTTTCGCTAGAGATGGAGACAGGAACCGCAGTGAGCCAATCAGCTACAGAATCTTACGAGGTTGGATGCAAGAGGCTAATTGTTTTCAATATTTATTTTGTTTTGCTATATTTTGAATCATATTTTTTCTTTGCATCATATTACATCATATTTAGGTCTCCATATACCAGTAAAAAATTCTAACATTTATTCCTGATCAAATTTACTTCAGATTTATAAGGATTTTTATAAGAAGAATAGTTTTACATAAAATAAATAAAATCATATCGTTATCATTTACTTTATGCATAATGTATGTAAACATACACACTAGAAACATATGGTAGCTGCGCTTCTAAAGTAAAAAAATGTATTTAAGCTGTTTTGGAGGTGTTTAGAAAAATGTTTTTCTATCCCTTAATAAAATATATTTGATAGCTTTGAAATATGAGCTGCACAAATTGCTCAATGGGGTTACATTTTACTTCTTATGCATGTACTCTATTAAAGCTAATCAAAGATTAATTCAGATTTCTCACCTTAACTCTTAAAGTTTAAAGTTTAAAGGAAAAATGTACCGAATGAGTGCAGATACAGAAGGATTTTTTTTTTTTGCTTTCTTGCCTTGATCAGCTTCTCACCAAATTCAGTAAACATATCTAATCACTAAATCCATAAAAATACATTAAATACCTGGCTATGCAAAATTAGCCTTCTCTATCTATAGTTGAAGAAGGAAAATAGCATATATAATGTGGCCAAAGTTATTGGTTTATTGTGTAAAGTATAATAAACTAACTTTAATTAAGACCAACAAAATCAACCCTTGGTTTAAAGTTTCCCTTTAGCCCATTTATTCTTTTTTTCGCCAAAGTCTAGAACTCAGGGTCTATTTATTCATTTATTTTTTTCTATAAATACACATGTAAGACATATATTCTTAGCTCTATGACATTGTAGAAACAGGCAGAGGTTTCAATAGCTTACTGTCTTATTTAGGAATTAATTGATGTGTAAATCAAAACTTCGTATTTTCTTTATTCACATTATTTTCTCTGATCTTCAGGAAATGAAGGCAATATATTTCAAATTGATGAAGACACAGGAAACATTACAATGGTGAAAGTTGCAGATATCGTTGGACCGATCATTCTGACAGTTCTGGTAACGTAGAAAAAAAAATGTGTTCCAATAATTATTTTAACTTATCAAACAACAGAAAGCTCTGGTTTTGAACATGGCCTTTATCCCTGCAGGCGTCACAGGTGACCAACAGGGATCAGTTTGCAGTGACACAGGTGACCATTGATGTGATGAAGAAGAGCAGGAACCCGCCCCGCTTTGAGAAAGAGCGATATGAAGGATTTATCTACAGCAACTCCGTCCCAGAAAGTATGATACTCCGAGATCGGAGCAGCAACAGGCCCTTCAGGGTCCGAGCACGAGACGAAGATTTTGCAAGTGTGAGTGACTCTCATGATTACTTCTTACACTGGAAAAACAATCTAGAAATAAGTGAAATTTCCTTAAATGAAGTGTATTTATCCTTAATTATTTTACTTTATTTATTAAAAAAAAACACTATGTGAAAACACTAACATTTTGTGAAAGCCTAAATAATTCAATAAGTTTTTGACCAAATGTCAGCAAAGAAGACATGACTTGTCTTCTACTTAATCTGGATCAGTAAATTTTTTGCTAAATATCTTCTGCAAAAGGAACCCCTTTAGTTGGTGAATTTATTTGTTTCAGGGCGTGAACCCAGATGTGAAGTATGAGGTTCAGTACAGCAGCTACGTCAATGTAACCCCTGATGGCTTTGTGATCCTGAAGAGAGTCGTAAAGACCGAATCCTTCGCCCTTCAGGTGACTGATGAAGCTGCTTGTAATTACCAAAAGTTTTTTTGCTTAATTTTTGACACTTTGTGCATTTTTTACTGGCTTCAGCTCCGAGCTGTGGATTCAACCACAGGAGAGTTTGGGTCTGCAGCACTTTCTGTTCAGGTCATACCTGGTAAGACTTTCACTCCAAACATTCCCATTTGATGTAATTCTTACTGAAATATACTAAAAATGATTTAGCAGCCCTAATTCTGTCTGTAGGGTGATTTTGAATCATGTACCTGTTCTCTACTGCAGCTGTGGCCATCCCCTCACCTTCAAGCATCGGCTATCGGCCAGGTGACATGGCGCTGCTCGGCCTCATCATGGCAGCGCTCCTGGTTCTCTCCCTCATCGTGATTGGCTTCTTGGTTTCCCGCTTGGGGAAGGAAAACACAAGCCTCAGGAAAATTTGTGAGGTTAGCTTTTTTGGTAAAGGGAACTTTACAAAAGACACAACACTGTGCAAAAACGTTAAGTCCCCCCTATTCTCTCCATAGTGAGTTCTCAACCTGGAAGCAAAATATAAAGTTCTTTAGAAAATTGGCACAGTATTGCACATCAGGAAATATAGATATTTTTGTTCAAAAACAAACAATGTGGGTTTTTTTCTTCATGTTTGTAGACTTAATTCTAAGTATTTTTTTTTTTCATATAATCAAAAGTAAAATGAAGAAGCTGGTAGGTGAGCTACAATCTGCAGCTGCTGTGCAGGTTTTATGTAAATGGATAATCGCAGCCATGGATAATTATGGGATATTAATAATCAAAACAATCTGTTCATTTTAGCTGTAGCTTTTTGACAATGTTCAAATTAATATATCTCCAAGTGAAAGGTGTATAAATGACTTTGGATCCTGAAGGAAAGACAAACTGACTTTCAACATTTTTACTGCTAAGCTAACTGCAGCAGTAAAGGTACACACCTGGCTGAAAATATCAAAATAAATGCACTTCCTGTTTTTTACTGGAAAGAAGATATTTATCAAATATGCATGTAATTAATGTCTGAGAACAAACAGTATGGGTTTGGATTCTTAGCCTACAGTGATACAGTGTTAGATGCACCCTAGAGTTTGGTGATTTCATTCACTTTAACAAAAATACCTCTGGACATTTGGGTCCTTTAATGCATGAAAAACCCTAAAATAAATTCAGCTTTTTATTGAAGCAGCAGCATTTCATGACATCAGAGTAAGGCAAATGTGTGCTGATCAGTTAAGGTCAGACAATGGCTGCAAGAGAACAGCTCCCTGCATGAACTGGCCAATACCTACACTCATAGTAATGGGAGGGGGGGGGGGGGGGGGGACAAGCTTTGAAATGACAGAGACGGTGATAAACAGGTCTGAATGGGAACCAATGTTTACCAGGCTACCACACACTGANTTGAAATGACAGAGACGGTGATAAACAGGTCTGAATGGGAACCAATGTTTACCAGGCTACCACACACTGAAAAAAAACTGAAATCTAAAAATTAGTGCATTTGTTCTTTAATTGAGGAGATAAAAGAGACATGTTGCCAATGGAACAAGACAATTTACATTTAAAATAAGAAAACACAGTTGCATTGTCTCATTTCAAGTGCATATTATCAAATTTTCTTATATAAAGAGTAAGACTAATTCCATTGGCAAATCATCTTATTTACCTACTCAAATTAAGGGTAAATCATGGGCGTAGGTTTGCATAGGGACCATAGGGACATGTCCCTACCAAAATTTTGAACCGACCTAATTGTCCCTACCAATAATTGGATGTGAGCAGCATGTTTATAATTTACAGCAGTAGTTATTGCAGCAGTGGCTTCTTTTCCTCTCACAGCTCCTCTGCCTGGTCTCTCCTGTCCCTTTCATGTAGCAGCGCATGGAACTGTGCTGCGCTGTTTAACTCAACTCTCATTGGTTGTTCTGCCTTAGGTTCCGCCTTCTCTCTCTCTGATTGGCTGTTTTCTAGTCCGCGTGTGCTTGGAGCACAACATTGAAAATTTATTCACACTAGAATGCAGCGGTTACTACAATTAATATTAGGCTACAAAACTAGTCCCAATAAAAAAAAAGAATATCATGTACACTAAAAAACGAAAACCTTTTTTTCTTTTTATAAAACGAAATATTCTGAGTCAGCCAGGAGTTCTGAAGACTGCTGGAAAAATGGGCAAATAAAGGCTGTAAGCCATCAACATTTCTGATTCTTAGCCACAGCCAACTAAAAAAGAAAATGTGAGGATTTCCTTTTTACCGATATTAAGTTGATATTACTGTTTTCATTTTTTTGTTTTTATTTTTACAATTTTGATATAATAACTGATCTAAGTGGGTTGCTCTGTGGGGAAAGGCACATTTTACATTTATATTACTGTATGTTTTAAAGTCTCTATACTCCAGTTAATGATGAATCACGTACTAAATTAGTTGACGATTATTGAAATAATCAATTAATATGATTCATTTTTTTCAGCCCCAGATGAAATACATGAAATTGGCTACACAGAGTAACTACAGCCCAGATGTTCAACTTTTATAGTGAAGTTAATATTTTAATGAAGGTATTATTTTGCTTGATACAGAGAGAGAATAGTAGGTAAAAATATAAGAGTGGGGTTTAACTCTGCACAATTCTATATCTTCAAAAGAAAATACTTTATTTACCTTCTCTCTTAGTCGTTCAAATGAAACCGTTTTCAAAGTGGAAAACAGTCCTAATTCCACATTCATCAGAGCCGGTGATACTTCAAACATTGATAAACAGCATCTAATGAGTGTAGAGCTTATAACATTTTTATTAATGGAGCAAAATGTTGCTTTTCTCTTTTAACAATGAATTCCTCTTATCAGTACGGATGCTCACATCGAGCATAAAAAAGGGCATGCATATTGCATAGCACCAATGACACCCGACCAATAGTGTCCCTACCAAAGTTCAAATCAAACCTACGCCCTTGGGGTAAATACACTTAATTTAAGACATTTTTACTCATCTTTAGATTGTTTTTGCAGTGCAGGTACTGAGGAAGATGGTGAGGAGATAAAAAAATAGACATTCAAAGGTCAGTTTTTAGAAATGCAGCAAAGAGTGGTGGTTAAAGTGTCATCACACCTATTAGGTGCTATGTACACATTAAATTGTTTTTATGAAGAATTTCAGTCAAAGCCTTTTCTATTGTACAACCACAAACATAAATAGGTAGAGCCTCTACTTGAGCTTTTTTAATTAGGAAAAAAAAGGGTCATCAGGAGGACAATGATGTTTAGGAGTATATTCAGATCAACCCAGAAACAGATTGAAAGTCCTTAGCACAAAGGCTCTAGAAAATTTAGTTGTAAAAAACAATGACTTCCAATAAGGAAAGTAATTTTCCTGCCACTGAAGGAATGTTCTCTGTGACGTTTTTCCTTCTGCAGTTTTCAGTGGAAAAAAATACTGCTGTAGAAAGGTGGGTTTTATTTCTAAATCATTTTGCCTCTCCTCCTTCAGTGCCTGGGGCCCTGTCTGCGGTCCGACCAGCCTCGGAGCGGCCACAGAGACTCCCTACAGTTCACCAACGATGGCTTCCAGAATGAGAGCGACCCAAGTCGAGGAGGAGGCGGAAAGCGGTGGAACAACATCATCCCCCGGCGCAGCACCTTCCCCCAGCCCAGGAGCCGCATCCTCCCCCTGGAGAGACGGAGCCGCCTCTGCTCCACCTGTGGCATCTACACCAACCACGTCACCAAGGGGAGCCCCTCAGCCAGGAGGAGCTGGGGGGACAGAGACGAGTACAGCATGAGGTCCATCATGTCCAAGCAGCGCAGGAAGGAGGGCCAGAAGACAGTGTGGTTCAAGGAGAGCGAGGACTCCTCGGACATTGAAGTCGAGATTATCCCAGACACTGTTGGTAGAGTGGAGGAGGAGACCGAGGAGGAACTGGAGGTGGAGATGGAGGGGGTAGTCAGAGACCCTGCTGCCCCTCTGAGAGAACCAGAAGATGAGCAGGAGAACCAGAGCAATGAGCAGAACAAAGAGGCAGAACCTGGAGATATGAGCTGTGAGAAGACTGGGCAGGAGGAGGAGCGCTGACAGCTGAGGTCAGACCGAGCTGAACGTTGCTGGTTTTATGACTGCAGAACAAATACTCATTCAGGAGAGGATTCAGAATCTGGGACAGCATTCCCAGGATCCAAATGGGAATCAGTAGATGAGAAAAGTCTTCATATTGTGCTGGTCCTGAAGCAGAGTAACCGATCAGGGCCGCAAACGCTCTGCCCTTTGATGAGACCACTTCATTTCAGAGTTCTGGGTAACACAGCTTCATTCACTAAAATAACTTTACACCCTTACAGGTGTGAGGCTGTTTTCAAAGCTGCACTTTAATGTTGAGAGCAGGGGCGGATCTAGAAAAATATTTATGGGGTGGCAAGAGGGGGGCAGGACTTTTTTAGGGGTGGCAACATATGGCATTTGTTTACACTGAATTTAATCACAGTTATCACAGTTTGGTGAGAATAGTATGTACAGTACTTGTGTTTAATGT